CCCTTGGCAGGGTCTTGGTTAACTTTCTCTCACCAATCCATATTGAAGTCTTGGGGAGGTTTTCCTTGTGTTGGTTACTTTGAGTCTTTTGTGTTTTTCTTAACTGTCTATGATAGTTTATTTGTACAGATGGACAGGATGAGTTGTGGACTCCTTGTTGTTGAAACAGAGTAGCAGAGGGGTGAGTGTGTGAGGGGCGTTCACGTCAGTTTTTTATATTTTACCTCCGACTTTCAATTCAATTATAGGAAAACAGGCATCTGTCAGTCTTATTTAGATAGAAGTTATTTGCTATCACTCTTGCATTGACTCCATGCCTGGGGGGTTGGCTTAGTTGTTACCTTCAGTTTCTGAATATGCAGTCTCTTTAATGGATATACAAAATTTCTATTTGTCTTTGTACTTATGGCAGGAGATTCTCAGACCATCTTTAAAGTTAGAGTTTTAACTCTCTTTTATTCAGTCCATTTTCAGGGAGTGGCCGGGGGGCTCCATGTGGTGCTCCCACCACAATCGCCGGCTTTGCAGCTCCCATTGGCCAGGAACCATAGCCAAAGGGGGCGGCGGCTGTGGGCGTGGGCAGCGCGTGGAGCCTTGTGGCCCCTCCGCGTAGGAGCTGCAGGGACATGCTGGTGGGAGCCAGGGAGAGCGCCCCCCCCCCCCCAGGAAAGCGCTGCCCTGCACCCAACCCACTGCCCCAGCCCTGAGTCCCCTCCCACACACCCAAACTGCTGCTGCTGTCCCAGGGGCTGCCCAGCTCGATCAGCCCCTGAGCCAGCACCAGCCACTGCAGAAGTCACTGAGGTCACGGAATCCATTACTTCTATGACCTCTGTGACAGACACACAGCCTTACTAATTACTCTCACTGTTAATTTACACCTTATTTCCAGTCTGAATTTGTCCACTTTCAACTTCCAGCCATTGGATCGTTTTACACCTTTTCGCTTGCAATTTAATAATATTTATTAATGGACTCTTCAATGCTTAAGAAATAAATAAAGTTTGAAACATTTCCAACTACATATTTTTTTCCTAGAAGCTTTTAAGGACAGAAGCAGGTATTTCTAGAGTAATAAAATTCATTCCAGCTAGGATATTTCAAAAATTGTGTGTGTGGATTTACTTAGTTTTTCATGGAAGAGTGAAAAAAACCAATTAACACCTAGATTTATTGCTCTGAAAATACAACCCCACATTCCTTTTCACAATTAAGTCCTTTCCTAATGCTTTACATGGTTTGTTTTCTTGAGATAAGGATTATATTTGTACCAAACTGGTATTTATACTGGGAGAGGTGTCCGGTCTAGATAAGACACGTTTAGGGATAATAAACATGGGATTATGGCCAAAGAGAGCTATCTTCCTGACATCTGGCTTGTCTTTTGGTGAGAGAGAGCAGAAATCTCCTGCAGTTTCTTTAACCAGCCCAAACATTTAATAACACAACTAACTAAATGTCTTTATTGTTCTGAATTATTCAGGTTTGAGTACTTTAAACTAAACGTTGTGTGCTTATTTCAGATTGTATGAGTAAATACCCAAAGATATTAAATTATTTAAGAAACGTTTCATGGATAACCTTTTCATAGAATCATAGAATATCAGAGTTGGAAGGGACCTCAAGAGGTCATCTAGTCCAACCCCCTGCTCAAAGCAGGACCAATTCCCAGCTAAATCATCCCAGCCAGGGCTTTGTCAAGCCGGGCCTTAAAAACCTCCAAGGAAGGAGACTCCACCACCTCCCTAGGTAACGCATTCCAGTGTTTCACCACCCTCCTAGTGAAATAGTTTTTCCTGATATCCAACCTGGACCTTCCTCAATGAAAGGAAGCGTTAGGCCCC